GGGCACGTCCCAGCTGAGGTTGCGGAGATGCTCTCCGCTGGACCCACGCCTGCCCACGCCCCGGGAACCCGCTCCCGTCGTGCCCCGGCGTGCCCACAAAGCACTTACATAAAGGCGCAGAGTCCCGGATCTGCCCGACAGCCTCCGACCGACGCACTCCGACAACTTCTGCCTCTCGCAATCTTTGCGGCCGTGGTTCTAAAGCCAGCGGCCCCCTCCCTCCCGCCTGCCCCCTCCGCCCCTCGGCCGCCGCCATTGGCTCGGGTGCTGCTAACAGTCGGCCTGGGAACCTGGAAGGGGATTGGGCCGCGAGCCTGTCACATCAACTGGGTGGGGAGCCGGGAGCAGAATCTTCGGGGCTGGGCACCCTGGAGGGATGGGGACTCTAACTCTGCGGCAGGGAGCGGAGACCGGTCCCTCGCGACTGCTTCTCCCTCTCCCTGGCTAAAAAGGAAAAGGGATTAGAAGTCCACGGTGCCTGGCTCAGAGTCATGTGCAAAGGGGGGGGGGAAGGAATAAATGAAAAGATAGGACTGTTGGGAATGGGAGTTTGCAAGTCACCAAGCCCCTGATTAAGTCCGAGGGTACAGGTTCTCCCCGGAATGGTGAAGAGAATCTCGGCCCAAGAAGGGACATTTACTAGTAGTTTCGTCTGCGCGAATCAGCCCAGGTGTGACACCTTAGCAATCTTTCCTTTTCCCTTCCGAGGTCTAAGGAGCAGAATATGGGCAGGACGGGGCTCTCGGGTCTTTGGTTTCGTGCCAAGTAAATTGTTGACCAAAATCACCTGTTAGGTAGGGTTGACCATGCGGAAGGGGGTGAGAGGTCGAGGTAGGAAGGAATGGTGGGAGTAACGTCGTTCCACTCGTTTGGAAATGGATGTCAATTCTCATTAATCTCCTAACACCAGAGAAAACTTGGAGACGTGCTCCTGCTTCCCGGAATACCTTTTCTGTTTCCCAGAGTCCCTTTTCTTCTTCTTTGCCCATGAGATTGCCTCCATGTCATAGCTGGCTTCTTGCATGAATACACGGGGAGGTTTCCCCTCCGTATCTGCGTTCCAGTCCTTTGGCTCACTCCAGATCCAAAATCAGCTCCGAGGGCCAGAGTTTGAGGGATTCTCCAGGGTCAGGTCAAGTGATTGGCTTGTGGTACAGCTGTCCAAGAGAAAGTCTAAGCCCCTTCCTGTTCCAGTCATAACCATTTGGTTTCAAAAAATGTGTACTTGGATTTTTTTATTTTTACAGATTTAAACTTGGTTCAAATACATAACATTTTCCATGCATTTTGGGGAAAATGCTAAACTAAGAGTGGCCTGAAAAATTGAATGCTCTTGTAAAGAAACTCCCACTATTACGAATTTCCTTAGAGAAATTAACCTGTAGTGAGTGCCAGGACTCCTTAAATGGGAAGACGTAGGGGAGTCCACAGACTGCCTAAAAGCTAGATAAGCAGAGAAGGATTTGGCACTGGGAAAAAAGCCTCGTTAAATATTTATTAATGATTAACCAACCAGAAGGACTTATGAAAGGCACAGGAAGGTGAAAAAGAAATGAGAGGGCAATCTTGCTTTCAGAAACATTACATTTCTGTTATGAGAGATTTCATACTGGTTCAGGTTGGGATCGCTACAAAAATACTTATTTCAACACGTTGCTGTTAGCCTGACCCCACACACATTTACAATAGGCTCCAGAATGAGATTTCTGGCTTCCAATAATTGTCCCGAGGTTTGATATGGCTTCTGGAATTCTTTGCACAGAATTTCTAGACACACTAAATATGGTACTTCTACCTTTTGTCTGTAAGTCACCCCAGAAAAGCTTCCACCTGCTTTTAGACTTACACAGACAGACTTAGTAATTTCCTGAAGGAACTCGGCAAGCTAAATTTTCGAGCATGGATATATTTGTCTCAATTACTTAATTTTCTACTTCAGTTTATTTTTCAAGTTTTGGAATTCAGAGTAAGTCAAAATATTAAGAATCCCATGCATATGCTCCTTTTGCTTTCTTGTTTCTCAATTAGAAAAGCTTCCGTCAAAACTTTAATAAAAGTCTTTGTTCACCACTAACACTGCGGATGTCAGAATTCAGCCAAGAGTTTGTTGTCGAGAAACGTCACTTTAATGGAAGTGCAATGGTCTATAGTTTCAAAGCTTCAGGGCGCCCAAGTGGGGCACTGCTTGACCTCAACAGAAAAAAGATGCCTTAAACGCGGAAGCACCTATTTGGATGCTAGTTGAGATGCCTATGTAACAAGCTCAACAGTATAATCCAGGTCGGGCTGCATTTTTTAAAATTTTTTTGAAGATTTTATTTATTTATTTGACAGAGAGAGCCAGAGAACACAAGTGGAGGAATGACAGAGGGAGAAGGAGAAGCAGGCTCCCCACTGAGCAGGGAGCCTGATGCGGGCCTCGATCTGAGGACCCTGGGATCACAACCTGAGCGGAAGGCAGACGCTGAACCCACTGAGCCACCCAGGTGCAGCCGGTAGAACTGTATTTTCATGAATATTATTAAAATAGGCATTTTGATGTAACTAAGCTACCTTTGTGTTGCCCCAAACCTAAAAGGCCTCTTCAAAGATTAACATTTTCTCAGAAAGGAGCCTCAAACTCAAAAGCTTTATTCAAACTGCATTTCTTTCTGATCTTGCACACCGTCCATCTGACTAACACAGGATCATTCACAGTTTACAAACCCCAAATTGGTCGTTGCACAGACGATCTCCAGCGTCCCTTCTAGCAGCTTATAGTCAGGACAGAGGCTCTAATTCATCCTTGAGCACCTTGCACAGCAGCCTGGCATGTAGCAGTTCAGTAAATGCTTGTTGAACTAATGGTTATTTTATGGTTCTATTCTTGTAAAACTAAAAACAAAACAAAAAGTCTCTCTCTATATAGGTCTCTCACAGATCCTGTGAATCAACAACCTAGAAGTTTTCACCCTTTCCTTCCGTCTCCAAATTTCAATCCCATACGCCTTTGTAATAAATAGCTTCAAATCAATATCACCAAATTTTGAAAACCATTTATTTTTCCTGTATTTTTTTGATGTCAAACGAGGCTCTGGTCTCACCCTTAGGTTTTACCTCTGTCCAATGTACCTTTCTTTCCTCCTTTCCACAAGCATACCCTCCTTTTCTTTGCTCTGCTTTCTATATCTCTGCCCAATGCTCTCCCCAGTCCAGTTCACCATTTATTATATGCACATACTCTGAGTTTTTTTCCTGACAATTTCTTAGCGTAAATTCTCTGTTTCCCTTTTACCCATTTTTTTTAAAGCCTCCTTTCTATAGTCCATTAAAATGTGATTTTGCTACACAACCATTACATAATAGAAGAAATCAAGAATCCTGATCAGTTCAATACAAATAATTTCTTCTAATTCATTATTGCTTTTTCACTGTCTAAATGTATAATTGTGTACCAATCTATTTTAATTAATTGCTTCTTGATTTATCAGTTCGTTTCCAGGAACCAATATATTTTGCTTTCATCTTATGTTTTAGTATGATAATTCTATTCCATGTTATGATATTTTAGGTTCTTGGATTGATCCTTGATTCCTCTTTTTATTCAACATGTTATATCTGATTAAAAATACAGCTTATATGATAATATCCATAGCAAATAGTGACATACAGTTTTTTTAATTAAGTGTGATTTTAAAGATTTCTCTTATCCTTAAATATTAGGCATGGGGGTGATCTTGGTAGATCTGGAAACTTCTTAAAATTTTTTGACCCAGAATATAATAATTGCAAGTTATTTCCATTGTTTACTAAGTGAAGGTGGTTTTCGTGTTTCCAACTCAAAATGTATGCATGTATAACACATGAATGTTAATTCCTTGGGTAGGCATTTTCAAATATTTCTCAAGTCTCAGCAGTTCCTATCAATCTATCAATCTGAATGTCTGTTAAAACCTGCCAATTATCTTATAAGCACATTTTCATAAAGAAATTATTGTGGCATGTCCAAGAGTGTTTTCACATTTCACTTGTTAAAAAGAAGAACAAAAGACCAAAAAAGTCAAATGAAATGTCTTTACTAGGATTAGGATATATTTGATCAACATTAACCTTCTAATATGTAGATCCAATTTTGAAGGTCACTATCCATCGCTGGAAATGCTCAGAATTAAACTGTCACCCTCAGGTTTCCTGTCAAATATATCATTAATGGACAATATTCTTTTAAGTGCCTATTATGTTCTTGGCATTGAATGAAATATTATGGGGCGCCGGGGTGGCGCAGTTGGTTAAGCATCCAATGACACTTGATTTTGGCTCAGGTCGTGATCTCAGGGTCGTGGGATCCCCAGCCTGCCACATTGGGCTCTGCGCTCAGTGTGGAGTCTGCTTAAAGTTTCTCTCTCCCTCTGCCTCTCTCCCCTCAAATAAATACATCTTTAAAAAAGTGAATTAAAGATTATAAGCAACATAGAAAAAGTATGGTCTCAACACACATGGAATTAATAGTCAAATAATTCAATAGCAAAACCAATGTAGATGAAATACTGAGACAACAATTCAAAGGATAGAATATATAAGGGAGCTCTATTCTCAACTTTTTGAAGAACCTCCATACTGTTTTCCAGAGTGGCTGCACCAGCTTGCATTCCCACCAACAGTGTAGGAGGGTTCCCCTTTCTCCACATCCCCACCAACATCTGTCGTTTCCTGACTTGTTAATTTTAGCCATTCTGACTGGTGTGAGGTGGTATCTCATTGAGGTTTTGATTTGGATTTCCCTGATGCCGAGTGATGAGCATTTTTTCATGTGTCTGTTGGCCATTTGGATGTCTTCTTTGGAAAACTGTCTGTTCATGCCCTCTGCCCATTTCTTGACTGGATCATTTGTTCTTTGGGTGTTGGGAGGGATAGGGTGGCTGGGTGATAGACATTGGGGAGGTTATGTGCTACGGTGAGCGCTGTGAATTGTGTAAGACTGTTGAATCACAGATCTGTACCTCTGAAACAAATAATACATTATATGTTAAAGAAGAAGAAGAAGATAGCAGCAGGGGAAGAATGAAGGGGGGGAATCGGAGGGGAAGATGAACCGTGAGAGATGATGGACTCTGAAAAACTGAGGGTTCTAGAGGGCATGGGGGTGGGAGGATGGGTTAGTCTGGTGATGGGTATTAAAGAGGGCACGTTCTGCATGGAGCACTGGGTGTTATACGCAAACAATGA